GTTAAGAGTGATATGTAATTGCCCTCTTGAAAATAAGTTTCTCAAAATCTTGAAAGTAATGTGTGAAGTATTATTTAAAAAGTGAAGTATGTTTGCAAATATTGCCTAATGGTTTAACAATATAAAAGTAACTTGTCTTAGAGAGATAGCTTGGCACAACATCATGATTAGTTAAAATTGGACAATTTTTAGTTTTTGAACTGGGCATTTAGTAGAATTTACTAGCTCAATCCTCTTCTGCCATTACATCCCAATTTATATTTTTTCCCCATGATAATTATGGCTGAATCTTGAGTGCAAAAGATGCATGACATTAACTCCATCTGTTTAGCTATGTAAGTTATGACATGTATGTTTCTCATTACATTAATGTTATATAACTGGACATGGTTTGGCCTTCCCCATTAACCCACTGTATTCAGATTAGCCTTTGTTGATTTGAGTGAATTTGTCTCCCTCTACAAGCAGGATTCAGGGAGGAGCCGCTCACAATCCGGGTCTCCATCAAGATCACCATCATTGAGCAAAACAAAGAAGAGGCATTCACCATCTCGATCTCGGTTAGTTCTCATTTGATAGTTGTCAAAGTTGGCCTATACACTACTTCTGCCCATTCAAAGATGGATTTAATTTGCTGCTCGTAATATTGGCTTACCTGGCTCAATATCAGCTTTGGTGGTGGGATTCCTTATGTATTTATTTTTTGTTGCACTTTTAAAATTTTATAACCTCCACATATTTTAGAGAGTGCTTGTAGGGGTATTTGTTGAATTCAAAGGTTAAGGTTAAGGGTTCATATTTTAAATTTAGTTGAAACCATGGCATTTCTTTGCTGTAATTCTGCTCTGCTCTCTAGTTATGTAACAACCACTGAGTAGTTGTTCTCAGTATAAAAAGGTACTCACAATTATAAGTAGAAAAACCTGTAGAAGGTTTTTCTTGTTCATAAGTTGAAGACTGAATTGGATTAAATTTTCAAATTTTTATGCTGTGGCATCATGCCATGAAAATCTATGCATTACTCATTTTCATGATATGCACAAAGATATTGAATTTTGATATTTTCCCTTAGCAACTCCCATTCGGCATGACATTTCATTTTCAGTAAGTTCTTTGAGAGAGAGCATTCATTGCACAGTACTGCATCAAATTTTTAAAATATACTAGTGTTGCAGATCTGCAGCAACATAAAACATCCTCATCAAGCTAATTGGAAAATTTATTTTTGCCTGTACTCAGTGTCATAGAGATGCAGCACACCCCACACTTAACTTTCTTATCAGTGTTACCCTTTGCAGTTGAATGCAGAAAGCAGTGGATGAACTAGAGGAGTTCTAATAAGAAAAAATATATATCCAGGGGGTGTTACAATTTAGTACCAAATGGGTTAAATGAGTGTTTGCCGGGATGGCAACACGGTACTATACTTTTCAAATAATGGCCTTGATTTGAATGCTCCAATTTCACCCTAATTTGGGCCTGGGTAAAGGAGGGCATTCATGTTCTGGAAGAGTCAAGTTGACATCTCTTATTCCCATACAGTTTGGTTGCAGTGCTGTGGAATCAAGCAAATGCCCATAATGATTTTTCTAAAACATTTATATAGCAAAAAGTCATCAGTTGAGGGTTGGAAATACCTCATTTAAATTGCCAATTTTCACACAAGCATGGAAATCAATACAGATATAAAGAGCTGATGACAACAAAAGAAATGGGAGATGTCAAGTAAAAGCTAGTAAAATAGAAGTGAGAAAGTAATACCCAATTTTCCCTACTTTTTTGTTTTATTTTTGCTATTTTGGCTTTCTTCCTATCCATTGACTCATGGTTATCCCTATTGGTTTTGTTTTCTGATCCAAAAATGGTGAATTTTATCATGACCACATACCATGGCCATTCTGTTGCCAAAAAAAATACTTGGGCTCAGGCAGTAGCAAACTTGGAAATTAAAAAAAAATGCATTTCATTTGGTTGAAGTGCTTAAAGACTGTAATACTATGTTTATTGCTATTCTGAGGAACTTGAGAAGTGATGGCAATTTTGGATTTTAGGTCAGGGAGTGGTGGAGAGAAACCACGGAGCCGCAAGGAGAAGTACTCGGGCTCCCATTCCCGATCTCGGTCCTTTTCCCCATACTCAAAGAAGAGGGAGACATTCAGGTCTTCTCGCTCTCGATCTCCTATGTCCAACCGCAAACGACATCAAGGCTCCAGGGTCAGTTCATAATTAGCAGTTATCTGTTCAATGGGAATCATCCACCACATGGTCACTTGATGTTGATGGGAAAAACTGATCTATTTACATGTTTTGTTGAAAGAGCAATTCATAGGTTGACTCAAAAATGGACTTTTCTCTAGGCTCATAGCATACTTGCAGAGAAATCTCATTATTATTGCCATTTCTTTGGTGGCTGTTTTCAGGATGCTCCAGTACCAGGTCGAGTGCTTGGAGTATTTGGCTTGAGTCTGTTTACTACTGAAAGGGAACTCTATCACATTTTCAACAAGTTTGGGCCCATTGAGAAAGTGCAAGTTGTCCTCGATGCCCAGGTTAGCTGGAAGTCAACAATAGACATTTGTTGCCTGATCATAGTTTAATGGCATGGTTTGGTGATGTAATTTTTCATGATTTGTCCAGTCGGGTCGGTCCCGAGGCTTTGCATTTGTCTACTATGAGAGCTTGGATGATGCAAAGGCAGCAAAGGAAGAATGTTCAGGAATGGAGATTGATGGGAGGAAGATTCGAGTGGATTTCTCCATCACAAAGCGAGCTCACACTCCTACACCGGGCATTTACATGGGCAGACCTTCCAAGTCAGTGTTCCTTCATTTTTTGTTACCTTTTTGCCTACAACTTCTTCAGGAGGCTGGAATGGTGGCCTCTGCTTGTAATTCTAGTTTCTTCCATTTCTTGAATTGTCTAGTACAAAAATGTTGCATGGCCTAACTTGATCTATTATTCATTGTAGGATTGATCAATTCTGAAAAACTAATGATCAAGATACCCACAATGTTTATTGCTGTGCTACTCAGGTTCCTGTTTTTGTATATGAAGACAGAATGCCAATTTGTTCATAAAATATATAAATAATTCAAATTTTCACGTTTTGTCTGCAGCAGAAACTGTTAGTCCTTGAGAAGCTTGTGAGGGAAAAGTAAATTCATCCATTGCTTTAAAGTTTACATTTGTGTTTCTATTTATATATACATTTATTTACATATTTTCCAGTACTCATATATTTATGTGCTGTTTCTGGTAGTCGAGGGTTCAGAGGTCGCCAGGGTGGTCGAGGCAGATCACCAAGCCCCTATTATCGTGGGCGTCGTTATGAACGCTATGAGCGCTCGCGCTCCCGATCCTTCTCGCCTCCGCCTCGTAAGTACCGACGTGGTTACTACTGACCCACAACTGATCCACCCTCTCCCCTCTTCGCACCCCAGGTCTTGCTCACAATTCACAATGACATATGTTCTGTTTGAAATCTTTTTACTTTCCTGGGTTTCTTGTATTTATGCTGTCATTTACAGACTTTCTTCATGCCATCTTTCCCCATGAAAGTCAAGAAATAAAATGGGTTCTGTCTGTTGCCTCTTTGTTCAAAAAGGTTGACCCAGCCGTTTGAACAAAAGCCGAAGAGCAGTAAGACTGATACAAGTTCTAGAAGAACAAGTTGGCTTGCCCATTCAGATTAGGAAGAGGTGGGAGATCATACAAGTTAGGAAGAAGTGGGGAAAGGAAGCACAAGTTGAAGGCGATAAGCTCAAGTGCAAGGTAGGAAGACCAAGACCAAGGCTGGGGCAAGTTAGGAAGACCAAGACAAGGGCGGGAATAAGAAAGAGGAAGAAGCACAAGCCTTGAAGTTAGAAATGGCAGAAGTCAATTGTCATATCCAAGAGAACACCCTTTGTCACCATTGTAAGAGACAACAGGAAAGGTAAGGTGTCTCTGATGGGGTGGGTCCACTTCTTAAAGAATTGGCAAGTGAAGGGAGACATTATCTCTGACAATGAGCTCACACAGTATTTTTACCTTTTTTTTTAAATTCTAAAGCACCCTTGCAATATATTTTGATGATTTTGAAAATGCTGCACAGTATCCCCAACTCACTACATGCAAATATCAATGGTCTCTTGCAATTTATATTGGTTTAGAGGACAAGGCTAGCTTTTAAAAATATATAGATTCAGCTTCATGAAACACTCCCATCATATACTCCCCAGTCTAAGTGTATACAAAAGTTTAAATTCTACATTTCCAATTCAGCACTTTGTTTTACATCTCCTTTGTCTTATTTTACTTAATTTTTACTTGCTGATGGCCCTTTTCCTATTAATAATTACTTGTTATGGAGTATCATTCTTTCTATTGTAATTTTTCCAAATGAAACAAGATGTCGATTCTGACAAAAGAAAAACTTTTTTGCTTAAAATGCATGCATTAATGACAACTGTTGCTGAGATATTATTCTTATCAATAGGAAGACTTGACATGGGCCAGCTATGAACTCATACCTCCTGAGTACTAATGATGCCAATATTTAAGAAGGGATCAACAATGCTTCTTATAGACACCAAAAGTTTTCTCCTAAAAAAAATATGCTTTTTCAATATCATTTGACGTTTAGCATGCTTCTCCTTACATAGTTTATGATGGAAAGAAATGTTTTCTTGGAGAGAACATAAAATATTTATGGCATGCCTTCTGCCATCATTCAGCTTGTGTCTCAACTGCAGCAATTAATGGATCATGCACATGTAATGCATCTATTTTTTTTGCAAGGGTGAGTGGGAGTTTGAGTAACAGATCACATACACATTTTCTCACTTTCACATTAACATACTCAAGAATACCTGATGGCTGCTGATGCCATATCAAGTTCAAAAATTAATAGTTGCTTATCCAATGGTGACAGCTTCCCCCCCTCCTGACAAAAAAAAAAGTAGTTCTCTGGTACTGCTTGGCTTCTGCTTTAAGAAAACGGAGGATCACAAAAGACACTAGAAGGGTTTTCATTCATGTTTTTGATTAGTAATGTCCCTGTAGTGGTAGGGACAACTTATGAGCCAAATTCTCTTTAGAACTTGTTCAACCAGGTTGAGGAGCTGGAGATACAGCTTTCATAATAGTTTCAACAATAGAAGAAAGGTGCAAATTGTGTGTTCAAGTACCTTTCGATTCCTTAAATAATAATGCCTTCGGTCATTGTGGGATACCCTGAAATTTCTAGGCTTAGGCAGGGTGAATAAGCCCACAAGGAGATGCTGAAGCTACAACTGTACATTCTAGACCAGAGGTGTCTGATGTGGATGTTCACAGAGGTACTTGGTGTGCTGCATGCAGCCTGCAGGCCCCACTCGAGGCATATGCATGGAATAGTGCCCACAGTGAAAATAAAAATTTTATTTTTGTTTGCTTTGAGTGGAAAATGACAGTTGTGTCCATTATTTGTTATTCACAGGTGGGAAGAAAATCAGAAAACAAGAGATGATGCTATACTAGTTACCAATGTAGATGCCTTTCCTCTCCCTCCCCCTTCCTTTCTCCTACAAGATAGTGATAGGAGATTCATGGGTATCTCAGTAGTGATGGAAGGTTTTTATGTGGGCTTGCAGGAGTTTTAGTTGAATTGTTTGCCAACAGGTCAAAGTCTTTCCTTACAAGGGTGAGGATGAAAATATTCTACTTCACGTTATATGGTGAGGTTCAGGGAAATTTATTTCTTGCTTGGGATGATAGGTGCCCTTTGGGACAAGAAGACATGCAAGCATTTTGGCAACAACTCCAGCAAAGCATCATCAGTATGTTTAACACCTTTTCTGGTATTGTCAAAGAAATTGAGAATAAAGTGACTTTTCCTGAAAAAATTTCCTGGTTGCTTTTTTTTTTCCATTTTCCAGACTTGAGTTTTTTATTGTAAAGACAGACTCAATCTGTTTTGATTTTTCAAAGAAAGCCAAAGGGGTAAAATAAAAATTGCCTTGCTGACATTCAATACCCTTGGAAGGCATCTGAGTGGCACATCCAAGGAGAGCCAGGAGTGGGAGGGGGGTCAGATAAAATTGGATTCTCCCTGTCTGACATGAGAAAGCACTGATAGGAAGTCCACCACATCTTTCTCCAACTGCACCAATTCCTGCAATGTGCCATTGAGTCAGAATAGTGTCAAAATCATAATTTAAAAAGTGAAAAAGAAAAACAAGTATTAGTCTGAAGCTGCTGCTACTACTTGCACAGCACAATATCTTGTGTAGGAGTCTGAAGCTCAGATGCTGAAACTTCCCTAGTTGGTCATATCAGAATCCATACACTTCAATGAGGGAAAGAGCTCTTCAGCTTAAAGGCCCCCTCATATCATCTATGAGGTTTTAGCTTCGGGGTATAAATCTCCCATGGGTGAACATGAAAAAATGGTACCAGTACCCAAAATGACTGGCTCATATTAGAAAAGGAGTGCCTATTTACAAGTTATTGCTTGAATCTGACTCTTAATCTCTCAGAAGAAAGAACTGCAAGGACAAGTAGCTTTCAGTCAGTTTTTATCCTAATATTCAAATCTGGGAATCTAGGTCTGAAATGAAATGGAATAGTTATAAAAATTCAAAGGAGTTCCTTGCTGTGCATCTACCAAAGCAAAATATTACGTCTATCGCACCAAGAAACGAGTTCCAACATGCTTCATATGCCTTGAGAAAAGTGAATGCCTCATTTCGCTTCTATGTGGATTTGGAGTAGGGCTGTCACGATAGATCGATACCACTATCGATGGTTGGAGGAATCTATTGTTTTTCGACCTTCACGATGTATCGGTAAAATATTTTAAAGGGAACTGTCCCATTGGATTGAGGCAAATACAGTTCGTCTGGGTGGGGAAAGGAAGAGCTTGCCTGTGACCCGCATGTGCTTGCTATTTATCACCATCTAATTCTGGAAATGCTGGGACTGACTATATGAAAGACAGGAAGGGAAAAAAAAAAGTCGGATCGGAGACCGGAAGTGGGTTTACGATGAATGGATGTCATCTTCAATAGTTGGGGGCACAATAGGGTTCATTACTCCTTGCGAAGGTCACACATTCAATCCCCCCCAATCACAAGCGTGAGATTATGAAAGACGGATAGAAGTCCGTGCTCCAATTGAGGCAAGAAATGATGGAAGATAAACCTCCCCCTGATCGCGGCGAGAAAAGCTTGAATCCTCCGCCCCCCCTCGATGGATCGTAAAACTATCGATAGTTCAGGCCGATGTTTCGAAAACTGCTACTGCGACAGCCCTAATTTGAAATTCTTCCATAAAAGAACTTGAAATACGGTAAAAATTGTTAGCATTTTATTACATGACAACAGTGGTCCTTACAAATGGACTGAGTATACTCTATCCTTGGACTCCTCGCATATTGGACACTGTCATTCTTTGAAAGATGAAAACTTTCTTAGCAGCATAGGTACTAGGAATGAACTGAATTTTTGGGAAAGTTTACTTTGAAATTCTCAATGCTAATGGCCACTCACCTGTAAGCATTGCTCAGGATTCTTCTGCATCAAGAAGTCATGTGGAGGTAGTGTTAACTTGACAGGAGTTTTTACTTGCCTTTTCCCTGCTTCCTGTAATACCCAATGAGACAGTAGCAAAATTTGTGCATCATCCAAGATCAAGACATGCTAAGATTTCATTTTCAGTAACGTACCAGGGCTTTCCTTTGCTTATGCAGTCCATCTCTTCTATGTTGAATCACAGCAGAGGGAAAGGCAGAGCGCTGTGATAACACCTCTTCCAACTTGGAAAGGTAAATTTCTTTTGAGGCATCACTTGCTGTAGAGAAAAGGAGACATTGAGGGATAAAAGTAGTGGAAAAAGAAATGTATTAGGAAGATTTGTGCATTCTTCAGGATGGCCTTAATGACTGATTTATATAATCTCTTGTGACTGCATCACTTGTCACAAAGTCACACAGATTATGGAAACTAAGCCCAGCCAGCACACGATAGCTGGAGCTATGTATCCATTTGTTCAAGGAGTCAGCCTTTCAGTATGCAGGAAAAAAAGCAAGGTTCATGTGGTAACCCAAATGCACATTGCAACGTACACTGGTAAAGCTTGGGGCAAAAGATAGGCCAGAGCAGATATCTCACTGCTTGGTTGGGTAGGCTGGATGATCATTGACAATAATTGGTATTGCATCACTTGTCATTTAGAATTACTCAGTTTCCTGAACTAATATCAAGAAAAAAGTGAATCATGGAAACTGAATTTAACTTGAATCCAGTAAACAATAACATTTAATTGAAAATGTTTCCCATATTCATGAAAGGCATATTAATTAGGACCAGATTTTGGCTTGATGGGATCTATTCCTTGGGACTTCTGGGCAGGTTAAATGCAGTAAATTTTCTTTAAAAGTAGATGAATGAGAAAACTATGTTTTTTCATGAATTTGAGCAACTACTACAAGATTAAAAAATGAAAAAATACTTCCTCACCATCATTGGAGTTGTTTTCTAGTGACCTCTGGATTGAAGAGACTGCTTCAGCATGGATTTCCTATATAGATTGGGAGAAACCATTTTCAAGCTCCACAAATGACAACTGAAGCTTATATGTATTACATTTAAAAAAGAACAGAGTCAAGCAAGCACTTTACAATGTTAGATTCAGGCATAATAACTCAGCAGTATTGGAGTGAGCATAAGTACAAAAAGAATATGCAGAGTAGGATCATTTTATTGTTTCCAGTATGAATGCACCTTTAACTGCAAGAAGTCAGCATTAAATTTATTCTGAATATTTTTTTCCTTGCAATGATTTGGAAAAAAACAAATTTGAAGCTATTTTCAAAATTACAGGGTTGGCAAAAAAAAAAGGAATCCACTTTAAATTTTGCTTTAGAAAATATGTATTCTTCAGTCGATTGATTAGAAAATGTAATGAAACATTACCTAATATTTTCTTAAAATGCTCTTAAACTTTTATGCATGCCTGACTACCCATGATTGAGTTATGGCAGAATTTGTCAAAATGGTTACAATTCTGAGTGAACAGGGATGTGATTTGTAAGGAAAGAACTCACATTTGAGTTTTTCCTAAAGAGCCGGTTCCTGTGGATGGATCATCATGAGAACTTGACAGGATATTGTCATATCTTTGTTTTTAATAATCCAAAAATGTAATGGATGTATTGATACATGGAGTATCAGCAATTTTCTTGCAAAAGTTATGAAATTATCTGGTCTGGGCACCTGTGGATGCCAACAACTTTCAAAATCCTGCCTTACTTTCTTTGTTTTTATTTAAATCATAGGATAGGTCAATAGCAAACTTCTTTTCCAGATGTGACCTCTAGGTTATGTGCTAAAGGGTTGCAATTTATTCTATTGTTCAGCCTGGTTTCATGATGTGGGAGTTTTTTGGTATGTCCAGCCCAGAAAACTTTGGAAAAGCCTGAAATTTTATGCACATGCTTGTTCAGATGATGAAATAAAAAAGGATAAAGTTTTGTTAAATTCTCATAAAGATCTATCCAAAAGAGATGAATTTTTAAGCAAAGATCAAATGTGAGTTCTTTTCTCACAAATCACATCCCAGTTCACTCAGAATTGTGACAATTTTGACAAAATCTGCCATAACTCAAGCAAGGGTAGTTGTATGTGCATGGAATTTTAAGGAGTTCTTGAAGAAAAATTAGGCTGCATAGAATTAAATTTTGAAGTCAATTGATTGAAAAATACTTATTTTATAGCAAAATTTAAAGTAGCCTCCGTTTTTCTTGGCCAAACCTGTAAGCCCTCTAACTTCTTATTAAAGTTCCTGATGGGATTCTACTCTTCCCAAAGTATATGAACATATAAAGTAAAGAAATTTGATACATAACAAGATTTAATCCTGAACCATGAAGTGGGTTAGATGCTATGAGGAACTCAAGATGCAACCCATTTCAATGATTTGCATTCTAGTTACAATGCCCAATATTGCACTGTGAACATAGGATTACCTATTTTCTAAATAGAAAATGGATAAAATTCAATTCAAAATTCTGTGCACAAATGAGAATGAACTCCCTTTCAAGCTCTTCTTAAGGAATAAAGTGAAGCACTGGATTAAGGCAAGTTAGAAACAGAAGCGTGAATGGTGGCAGATACTTTACATACTGAACCCTCTTCCTTCATCCACACTGCCTTTTTTTCTTGAAACAAATAACAACAACTTAGTACATAACTTGTAATAATTCATTACATAATAGCTAAAGGCATACATTATAAAATATACCTCTGCAAGCTGTTTGCAGAAGGCACTTCTGACAGCTGGGTCATCTCCATCAGTTTCAGTGGCATCAAAGATCACAGTTTCCAATCTCTGCTTCAAATTTTCCAAATCCATGTACAAGGGCTTATTTAGCCGTCTTGAAATATTATACTAAATGTAGACCACTTGGAACAGGAGAAAACAAAGACAAATTCTTTGGAAATGCAATGGCTTGCAATAGGCTTATAAAAAGCTATTATTTAGACCTAGATGATGAAAAATGAGAGTTAGGCCTGGAAATGAGGTGAATTTCATGTACCATATCCAATTATTTGCTTCTAGTTCATAAAAAATGAATTACATAATTCATCAGGAATACTATATGCACAATAGGCCTGAACCAACGCAATTTTTTTCTCCTCGAAGTTTCTCTTTCTATGATTGTGCAGTTTAAGAGGTGGGGTGCATCTATCACAATTTATAGGAAAGGAAGACATCATGCAAGAGTGGAAGGCATTTAAGACTTGTTTTTCACTCGAGTCAGACGATTTTTCACTTAACCTAGACACATCAGTCCTTCATGGTAGAGTCAGCGTCAAGAGAAAAATCGTCTTACTCACGTGGGGAACTCTGTAATACGAAGGGAGACGCCACATGTACAAGTTCTCCCTCAAAGCTAGTACAAATTCAGACACCGGGAACAAGTGCTATCGAAACGCAAATTACTGTAAGTCCTAAACAACTTCACACAGTCATTAGCAATTTTCCTGCAACCCGCTCTTCGCTCGAAACGCTCTCCCGCCTCTTTTTGCCAATCCGGTTTTCTTCCCAATTCATCAGCACTGTCTTTCTGTATGAAAATGACTTTAGGCTGTCTAATGTTATCAGAAAATGAAAGATTAAGGGAAATGTTATTTTACATTTGCCTTCAACTTTGAGTTTGATAATCTTAGATTGAATGACGCTAGCACGAGAGCAACACTGGAATCCATCATGGCGGATTACATGATCGTTCAAGATCGTAATATTACAATGTCCTAGTAGGCCCGTTATGAAGTGATTCGTGCTGTGCACTGTCAATTTAGGCCATTGTGTACTTGAACCATGCACGGAGATTTGGTTTACTATTGTGGCATTGCTGAATTTGTGAGAAGTGAAAGAAAGTTAATATACACAGCACCAACATAACCTTAAACTTTATTCCTATTGTCGGCTTTAACCTAGCCGTATAATAGGGCAGCCAGTGCTCTGATATGATTAGCCTGAGTGCACATTAGTGAAGTTTTCCTCACCGCGCTGATGCTTAAAATAGGCCGTCAAGATCTGTCACTCAGGATTGGACTACCGGTCAGGGGCGGATACAGAAATTTTTCATTGGGGGGCGGTTCCCAAGTTCCTACCTACCTCCCCCCCCAACCCCTCCTGCTTACCACCATTCCTCGTCCTTTCACCTTTTTTATTTTTCGTCTGCGGTAAGAACTTAAGTATCTATTTCACTGGCTCCAGTAAAATTTAATGCAGATGCTATTTTGAAGTAATAAATCAAATGCTAACCTGGCCATAGGGGATGGTTGCTCCCCCTGCCCATCCCCTGTGTCTGCCATTGCTACCGGTCACACTGAATAAAGGGTCATTACATGAGTCTATGAGTTTTTCCTAAGCGATGTGGAGAGATATAATCTGTGTCATCTTCAAGCTTTTCTTTTAAATGCTTTTGAAATGTTTGTTTCATGGAATTTACAAGGAAACATAATGTTTGACCTTGGGTTGGAAGATCTTTTTTACTCTTCCTAGATATTGTTATGACATTCCCAATTTTTTCCCTTTAGACACATCAAGTTTCAATTTGGAACCACCATGGGATCAAAAAATATTAACTATGATGTGACAGTATATAATTTTAAAAATCTCCAAAAAAATTCACTTGAAAAGGTTATATGTATATGTTTCATGATGAAATTTGTGGATAAACCTTTCATAAATAGTTTTTTATTTTTTTTTATTATATATAAATCATTGTGTATCATGTCTAATTCCTGGAGTATATACTGAAATCTACTTTGTGTAATTATTTTGTGGCATGTACAATAATATATATAAATACACTAATATATATAAGCATATTCAACTGAATTAATGTCACTTGGATCAAAGCCCATGGATATGGCCCCCTTTGAATTGTGTCCATACTCTGAAAAAATATACAAAACAAAAAAAAAACTTTATTGGCTAAATTTTAAATTAACTTGGTTTATCCTCCATTTGTCTGACATGACCAGCAACCAAGGAATTGCAGACTAGCCACCCTTTTCTTTTCCCAGAATTCAAGAAGATAGGAAAGTGGATAGAACCTGTGGTTATTTCTGTCTTTCTATTATTCCCTTGGATTGTAACATGAACTCAAAAGAAATTGCTAAATTCTTCCTCCTCCTGTGGCAATCCCCAATTTCTTTCCTTTTCTGGAATCATCTGGATGATTGAATATGAAGTTAATATTCCTGCAGTCTCAAAAGGGAGAGAACCAACACCATAGCTTTGTCCTGCTTCTCTTTATGTCAATCTATATCAGGGAGGGAAAAATCCACACTTTATTATGGGCACCTGTCTCTACTGGCCCAGTTTATGAATTTACCCTTCCAGCTACATTATATGTTTCATTGTGCATATACAAGGGAAGGTGCAAAAGTTTTGAGACTCGTGCTTTTATTGTCTCTTTCATTCAATGAACAGAACCACAGATGCAAAAAATGTGTATTGAGACAGGAAGACTACCTAGAGAAATAAAGGGTTTACAGGGTGTCTGAAAAGTCACTCCCTATTTTTAAATTGTTATTGCTCCTTCAATTCAGTTAAATAAATTTTTCAATTTCTCCTTTGGTTTAGGAGCAATAACAATTAAAAAATAGGGAGTGAGCTTTCAGACACCCTGTATATTTGCACAAAGGTCATGCCCACGTCATTGCAGACTCTCACTGCTTTTGCACCTCCCCTCATATAATACACTTTGGAAAATGCAGAATGTATTTTTACTTTCATCAGTATATTCATTCTGGTTTTATAAATATATCTAGAATATTTTTTAGTTTTGATTATCTTTAATGAAAGGTCTATCTGCAAATTTCTGAGCAAATCAAATGTATCCATAAATTTCTAGTTAATTCTCAGCCTTTTTTTTTAATCGCTTACTTCCACAATATTTTCAGGCCTATACTTGTCACCTGATATCCTATGCCCAGAGAGTGCATTCAAATTGTCAGGCTTGAATGTATTAATGTTATATCTTTTGATCCCATGCCAGTCTCAAATTGATATTTTGTTGCATCCCATGAGAAAATGTTGGGAATGTCATGGTAAGTTTTCTAGAAAAATATAATGACCCTTTCCCCTGAAATTAAATGTCATAGGTCATGCCTCTTGACCTCTGACTTTCTTTCCCTTGTAAACTTAATGACAATAGCATAATATTGACAGTTTGACCCCATTGGGGTGCACCAGTGTGCCCCATGCTTCACCTTCTCCAATGGATGTAAACATTTATTTTGGCCCTGGAAAGTCACCAGGCCCATATGACCTTGGCACTCAATGTGTTAAAAGGCATTTGAAGAGCTTGGATTTGGCACTAGTTTCATTTATCTACACCAATTAAGGAAAAAAATTATGGGCACATGAGTGTTGACCACTAAACCAGAAGTTACCAGAACCAGAAGTAAGAAATGTTTGTATATCAATATCGTAAAAGCGTTTGACTTCAGATGCTGAAACTTAGCATGGAATAGTCTCTTGATATGCACTACATTTGCACAAAATTTAATTGAAGTAGGAGATCAGGGCAATATTATATTTTTTAGTGTTGATTTGATGTGGAATGTCCATAACTTGGCTCTGTTATTAAAGTGTGTCAAATGCAAAGGAATCTGAGAAGAGATTCAAAGAAGCTAATTTTAAATTAAGGTTCATATATGATTTAATAGGTGACATGGAGAAAATGAGTACGGATTCTAAAGAATCCCAGGATGACCCTGGGGGAGCTGAAGTAGAAATGGAGGAAGGTGAAGACAGTGCGGATGAGTCTGACAGTGGGAGCGACCACAGTGAAGAGGAGACGAAGGGAAAGTTGGAATCCTTGCAAGAAAAGGTGGGTGTTTTGAACTTATCACATCGGTGTAGGGTTTGATCCTGGTGTTAACATGAGGGATGCACTGATCCTGGTGTCTTGATATTGGTTGATACAGATAGCTCCCAATAGCTGTCAGAAGTGAAACCACTAAACAGGCCAGACCTTAGTAGGCCTTATGCTACCATTGGCATAGAAGGGAAGGAATAATAAGTCCTCAGACAGTAGTGACCCAACATTCAAAATTTCTGTCATTTATTCAGCCAATATATTAGCTTCTTGAGTATGGGCCAAAACTTCCCTCTCCATTCACCCGGCCCGCCGAGAACACGTCGGACGTAGGTACTACAGCGTTTTTGCAAATGAATTCGTACCACCTTAATCACTGAGCATCGTAACTCAATGGCGCATCCAAATGCGGTGGCAGAGGAAGTCCAACTGTTTCCATTTCGGGAGGATAGATGTCTCCCTCCCGCTTCGTATCGCCACATCGCATCAATCGGTCAGTCTCTTGGGAGCTGCCGTACAGCAAAAGTGACGTCACGCGGCCCGTACGAAAGGAAAGACAAGTCGGGTTGGGCCGTCGTGCAACATGCACGCTCATACCCTGAGCCTTTGATGGCAAATACTCGACGTACTTCTATGTTGGGCTGTGTATTTGAAGGTGAAGGTGGTCGTCGACATCTTTGATTTGCCTTTTTATATTTAGCAGAATGCCCAACAATCTGTAGGTACGATGGAATGTGTGACCTAAAGTCTGAGACATTGTTCCATCGCTATTCTCCCTTTTATTTGGTTTTTGTATACTTCCTTCTTCTACGAGTACTTCATCGTTTCTCTTGAAATTTCCCTTGTGCGATTTCTCATTCCACGTCTTCCTGAACCCTCTTGTAAATCTTTGTTATTCCAATCCATCATTTTCATCGCAAAAGACAAAAAATTACTCTATACTTTATTCTTGGCCTCAACGTTCTCCAAATCATTGTAATTCACTTGCCATACTTTGGATGTTGCCCAGACGCGGCGTGGAAAGCGACGCCGTTCAGGCTGCGAGGATTCCTCCGTAGAAAAGTGTGGGCCCTTGTTGAAGGTGGTATGAATTCACTGTACGTCCAAAGAACCATCGATGCGAAAAGGAGTAGAGGTAGAAATTACGTCTAATGTCCTTAAGGGATTAAGGAGTTGATGCATCTTCATACGGGATCGGCGCTCGTGAGGGGAGAGCCGGAGGCGGGATGGACGTGAGGACTAAGTGCGCCTTCGCAAACCAGTCAGTGCAAGAAGGCAGGAGTCGGGGGGGGATGAATGCGTACGTGAATGACACTGGCCCGTTCCGCTTGTGCAATGCCCTTCGCAAATCTTTCGCATTCCGCTTTAGCCATGCCCCAGCTCATTGTCCATCGGTTGGGGATTAACAAGAACTATGACGGACTTGAGGAACCGTATGCCATTACGAGTGGTTATTTATTGGACGTTCCAAAACTTTACGCGCTGCGTATTCATTACGGCGTACGGCAGGGGAGAATCGAATCGATCGGCCGATATTGATCCCAGCCGATCCACTTGGTATCGGTGCACCCCTAGTCTTATTGATACTTGAAGGGATGAAAGGAAAGCTGGTCCATCCTCAGGAGAAGGTAGATAATTGCATAATTTCTCATGCATAGTCTTCATTTTTATTTTATTTAGGAAATAAATTGTGGGATTTATGTGAGGGGGAAACAAGTCTCTCACTAGGATGTACGCTGTTTCCTTTTGAAGCTTGAAACATTTTATTTGACACTAATTTCCTTTTGCCCCTTCATTTAGCATGCCTCCCTACAGTTATAATTCCGGAACTGATTTTTAATGTCAGACTTTTGCAAGAAGTGTAATGCTGTAAGAGGTTGCAGATGATCTACAGTGTGTCCTGTAAATTTTCACTATGCCATTTTAAAAAATCGCGTCTACTAAACAGTTGACACAAAAATGAAGTAACCTTAACTGAATGAAAACGTGTCATTTTGAATTATCTTCATCAAAAATGGAGGCATTTCTGAGTTTTGAAAGTGCCTCAAAATGTCATCTGCCTATATTAATGTATGCTTCTTGAGGCTTGGCACTGAAAAATCGCCAAAACTCCCTTTAAACTTTTGTTGGACTCTCTGAGACCTTCATCCAGGTTGCAACTTTTCTTCATTGCTCCAGCATCAATTGTGAAGCCTTTTCTCATGACAGTAAGAGCAAATTAAACGAAATGATATATTTTTATCTGTTTCTCAAATCCATCTGAAATTAGAAGATAAAAGAAAAGAAATTTTGTAGAATAGGATTAAAAATGGTGTGCCAAAAATGTCCATTAGCAAGTACTCATTTCTAATATGTATATATATTTTAGCAATTTCTGTTTGAGTCTGATTCTGTCATCATCATGAGAAAAATTACAAAGAACATTCTTTCCATCAATACTAACAAGTAACCTGCTTGTTGCAATTTGGGAAATGTTGCAGTTTGAAATGAAATAGTGACTTATGGGACACCTTGTACATGTTATTAGTTGCCTTCAACATATTTCACTTAGTAATTTTAAATATATTTGGTGCCAGCCCAAGTACCTTGTTTTATCTCTGGATGTAAAAAGTAATATTGGATTCAACAAGGATTAATTGTTCTAGTGGATGTTTGTGACCCTGTTAACCTATTGACATTGATTTACAAGACTACAGTCTTGTAAATCAATGCCAATAGGTTAATTGTAGTATTGCTACCAGGCAATTCTCTAGAACAATGCGACCATCTCGTATCTATATTTTGCACACAAATATAGTACCAATGTTCACCAACAGATTGCATTGGAAGTCTGTTCCTATTGTTTTAACCATTACAAGAAAAGTTCCTCATTATCCACATGCTATAAAAAGCGTGTTTGAGAAATGGCTCCACACATATATGGTATGCAAATGGTGTGATAATTCAATGCCAATAGGTTAATGCATATTGGACTTCAGTCGGTTAACAATGTCATTCTCTATCCATGTCTTGTCCTGGCTCTAACCTAAGAATAGGTATTTTTTGGCATTATCATGAGTGGTTCAATGATGCACAATGGCACAGAGATTCTTGTATGGAGTGAATTACTTTATGTGAATTGAAGGCAGGATTTCAATCATTTTATTTTGAATATGTTCCTCAGATTGCATTAGAGCCATGGATCAAGGAAAACCATATCAATCTCATCGGCTTTCTACAGAAGAAGGGGGACCTGGAGAAACTTCGAGAAGCCCGGGAAGCCTTCTCCAAAGTCTTCCCACTCTCAGAAGGTTCCAGAATTGATGCATTCATAGAGTCATTTTAGAGATGAAAAAAAAGGTTTAATTGAATGTGTATTCTATGTTCATTCATTTAGCAATGATCCTTATCCTGTCAACTTTTCTTAATGGAAGGAAAGCATTCTCCATTTAGTATTGTTTCTCTTATGAAATTCCGTATTTCCCCTAAAAGGTTGTTTTCCACATAAAGAGTGAAAGCTTTGTAATAGACCAATGAAATCTCTCAGCAAGAGTGGATAGATGTGGGATCGAGGCAGTGTTCATGCTGTTGTCTTCACTGATCATCCTCTTTCAGCTTTCCAAGGAATTTGTTGACTTGGATTTATTTGTTTCCTGTTATCATAAGTTAATTTTTATACAAGAGAGTTCCTGAAGGCTCAAGTTGTGACTTCATGGCAAATGCTCTGGATCAAAGAAAATTATAAACCAGATGGTTTTATTCTAAATTCTATTCTAAATTCCTGGGTGGAAGGAAGCATTTTCTTCTGCATTTAAAACTTGAGCCTGAATGCTCATACTGCAATTTCTAATTGACCATCCCACACACCATTCACTTTAGCATTGAGACAGTTCCAATGAAAGAACAGTTAGGTTTACATGTTGTGGATAAATATTCATTCAATGAAAGTACAAGTAGCATGATATGGTACTATAGATACAATTACATTCAGACAGAATGTTAGGATGCATACTTCTGTTTTTACTTCACTTGTAATGTCAAACATCTATAGTGGTTTCACTCAACTCAGATATGCATATAAGGGGGCACTTCTCATACATGAGTTGGTTAAGTGAGGAAATTTCTGATTTAAATGAAAAACATTGTAGAAAGTGTATCCAATTCATTGGTATGTAATGCATCTGATACAGAACCAAATTAAACTTAACCCTTTCACTGATTAAGTTTTGAAGACATAATAGAACTGTGAGCTACTGGAGTCACCTTTCACTGTGACAAGGTTAATACATTGTGTGCATCAGTGGAAGTAATTACTTGCCAGAAGTGAGCATTTTAAATTGGTCTGTTATGAAATAATTTATTTTAGAAGGCACATATGATGACATGTTTAGAGATGTGGATGTCATGGGTTCGAGACGAGATCGGCATTGCCGTTACAGAATCGGAGACACTACATGTGATCGAGCTCTTCAGGCGTGCTCTTCAAGATACATTCTGTGAGACTCCACCTTCTGTTTTATCTGATTTTGCCTGTTGTGTTATTGTTTTACCCAGATTTGACATCTCTTGTTCTATTCCCCTTGAGCAGCATTGGATGTATGGTTGCAGTACTGCCTGTACATGGTGGGTGTGAAAGGGTCAAAGGACCAAGAGGCTGTTGTTGGAGCTTTTGAGGAAGCACTTCAAGCTGTAGGACATCATGTCCTAAAGGGTTCTGTGATATGGGATGCATACAGGGAATTCCTCTTGCAAATTGTACGTTAGTTTCAAGCGAGCCTCCAGTCTTTGCTTTTGTTGTAAGGTACCACTCCTAATTGTATGTGTGTCCTACTACCCTTGTTGTTGGGCAGTATCTCAAAAAGTTTCGCAGGATGACATGGAAATTTGATAGTAGACATTTATTTGAAAGGTTAGCTTGGAGTTGGAGTTCTTTTGTAGCTTGTCTTAGGAATATATTATGTATTGACATTTACATCTGCTGCTGATTAGAGAAATGCTGAGAGGTGCTCAGTGAGTGTGTTGTGAGTGGAGAAATTGCCTCATTCTGGCAAAGTTTCTCCCCTTTCATTCAAAACCATCTTGATAATCCAGCATTGTACTTAAAAAGTAAGTGTTGCAATCATCTTCCCTCTCTTTAATTTGAAAAAGTGGAAGCTGTATGGATCTCTGGTGATATGAAGGGTTATGGTTGATGATGGTTAAATGTTTGTTTACCTTACATTTCACTTGTAAGGCAATTGCTCAAAGTCTCAAAGGAAGTGTGTGGAACATCATCAGGCCTAAACAAATTAAGTGGAATGTGGAATTCATACTTCTTTCTTGTACTATCTTATAAGGGAGACATGACTTCAGAATATGTGTGTTGGTGTACATATGTCACAGCGTCAGGCTGGAGGAAGTATAAGTCCTCTTACCTCCATATTTACCTATAGTGCTGTGGCCTGTAGAAATATCCTCAAGGTACTCCTATTCTTTTGCAAAAACAATCCATTGTATGTTACAAGTTTCTGAAAAGCTGCCTGCTGGAGCTGGAATCCATGCAACCTCCCAGTGATGTACAGGGTGAAGACTGCTCTTGTTGTGGATGTGCTATCTCTAAATGCTTTTCTAGCAGAGGCAAGCTCTTGAATTGGGTGTACTGTATTCATTTCTTATCTTTCTCTCAGCCTGTCAACTCTTGGTGATGCCTTACATTTGAACCAATATTGTTTGCAAAAAGTTTGATATGTAAGTTCTAGGCATTATTTGCTTAGTTTTAGAAAGTAAGGAAACATCCACCATCTAAAGCTGAAGTTACATGGTTGGTACTTTGGACATTACAGGACGAAGGAGGAAAAGAGAGAAGGTTAGAGGTGCTGAGGAGGCAAATGAGTCTGCCACTCTTGGGAAATGCTGACACATTTGCCGAACTTCAAAAGTCTGACCCCTCACCCATCGCAGATGACATCAAAGAGGCTCTTCAGGATGCCATCACCATTCTGGCCCCTCTCCAAGAGTTTGAAGAAGTGCTGGTCAGTCCATGGCTTATGGTTTTTCTGACTCCAGTAGAAAAGAGGTTTCTCATATCAGTATTAAAAAATTTCCAAGAATATAGAGAAGGTACTTCTGTGTTAGTGAGACAAAATGCAATGACAAAACCACCAGTATCAGTGGATCTGGCTTTCAGTTTTCCCCATACCGTAGTCTTTTGACCATATCACACCCCACAATGCCATGTAGTTAAGGATCTTTGATGTGGAATTCAAAGAAAAACCTGAGCCATGGAGGCCAAGAAAAAACGTTCAGATCTGTCTGGCCCTTCCATGACTCCTGGCTTGCTTGAATCATCCTCAAATTGATAAGGGCCTCTACCTCCAAAGGGACTTAGGCTTCTTGATGATTTACCTGTCTCAGTCCTGGATATTCTACCACTCAGCTATTTAGAATGCTATATTTTGATCACTTTATGTGCATCATTTTCATAACCGCATCACAAAGACCCTACCTGCTTCAGGTAATCAGACCATGTGGCTCTATGAGTTGCTTCTAAGAGCATCCCATCAGGTTAAGGGTGGAATATGGAAGGAGACATTATCCTAAAGTGTCCATAGATGAGCTGTTAGTATCTTCTGGAATCACTCGAAGATGGGAAACTTTTGTTGTGTTCTGGCCTATCTTGATCAGTGTCCCAATGGAGGTGTCAAGCAGACTGGTAATAATTAGTATTTATGAGTTTATCTATTAAATTAGTCTGTAAATCAATCAGTGAGTCAATATTTCTGTTACAAGCATTCTTTGTGAATTTTTCTTTACAAGATTCTGAGTGATTAAGAACTCAGTTGCATTTTATTCTTAGCCCTTGGAATTTCCCTATTTACTGTATTCTGCAATGCAAATATCCTGCACCATGATGTTCCCACTTGAATCCTTCTCGCACTGAGCTGTCTTGGGATTAACATTATATGGACAGAAACCTCACCTCAAACCTCAGCAGTTTTGCAAAGTATTTACATGTAAATATCTTTATTTCTTCTTTTGAGACATTTCAATATGTACCTGGAAACCTCATGAATGATGAAACATTCATCCTGCAGACTAAAGAAAGGGCTATTTTGACTCTCCCAAAAAGTAAAAAAAAAATCATTTTCTAAGGTCCTGAGTGATATGGTCTCTTGGCTTTCATTTTCAGCTACGTACAGAAGGAAAGGAAATGGAAAACTTGGAGGCATACAAGGCATACCTGGATCAAGAACAGACATTGGGAGACAGGGAGAGGTTGTGTACACTGTACGAACGGGCCCTCGAGGACCACCCGACCCAGGCATGGTTGTGGCGAGAGTATATTAGATTCCTCAAGGGGCAGGATAAGGCTTTGGATGCATGTCGCAGGGCCGTCCAACACTGTCCCGCCAGTGCAGGGCTGTGGACTCTCTACATGCGCTTTGCAGAGCGCACGGGTGCCTCCCAAGATGTCATTGATGGTATTCCCTCTTGTATTACATTCCAGTCATGCATATCCTGGATCTCTCACAACCAAAGACTCTTCAAATTTCATTTTTAAATGAATTTTTCAAATGTATTAACTTTTCAAGGAAAGAAGGGTTCTGTTATCAGAGAAAAGGTTTTCATATTGGACTTCCACTATTGCTGTTATTAGTTTAATTTTAAATTTAATTTTGAATTTCATCAGTCTTGTACTGAATCTTTATGCTGCTCTCTTGGTGCCCTGGCTGCTCTATTATTGTTGATCAGCAAGGAAGCACTGGACTACCTGTTCAAATGCTGTTGAAGACATTTTTTGGGTCATGTGACTTAGAAGGACATTAGGCACTATGTAAGATATTGCCAATATGCCTTTAGTCCTAGATATTGGCCAAACAAGTAGACCCATTTGCAGTACTGGTAATATGTGCACAGCATGAAATCAAAAGTGACCCAAATGCAGTGAAACTCTTCAAATCATTGTCTGAAATGGATAAGCATGCACTTTGGTAGAGCAGGTTATCCCTTGCAGCGTATGATCTCCATTCCATCTGCTCTCCTACCTGAAAAGAAATTAAGGTTCCTCGGTGTAAGATATTTTTCTTCCTTTGAGGTTTTATAAGATATACTGGACTGTATTGAAACATTTTATATTTCAAGTAGTTGTCATGATGGATTGAATGGCTAAATATATTTAGTAACTGTTTTTTTTTCCTCATGCTTTGAGATAGTATTGTTAGTTCAGATTATGCTTGTGCTGCATTGCCATCAATTTTGGAAGCTTATGAAAATTTTAATGAGAAGTATCTTTTAAAATTAGGAATCCTTGAGAGAGCACTGGAGCATGACTTCCAGAGATCAGATGACTATCGGATGGTGTGGCTTGGGTATCTGGACTACCTGCGTCGTCTGCTCCCTGTCTCCAAGGAGGTTGAACAAGATCTCCAAGTCCTCCGGGATGCTTTCAACCGGGCTTGTGAATACCTTGCTGAGTGTATGTTGGTATTTCTGTTTCATTACAGAGAAGAAACCTTGAGGGTTTTAGCTCAAGTATGCATCCTGGCAAAATTCTCATGAAATGCTATTCCTTGCAGCCATTCAATTCATTATTCCAAAGTACTAACCCAATTCTACAGAAGTTACTGTTACCTTTCAGGTTTCAGTATTATTGCTTATCAGTACTGATAAACCAGATTTTCATTGAGCTACAAATGATACATAAGTTTCCTTGTGGAAAGAAGTCATCTAAGTCATTCATCAGTCATTCATCTAAGTCACAGTCAGTTGAGTACATTTATAGGGCAATTTTTCAACAATCATTTAAAATGATATATCTGATTTTTATTTCATGTTTGATTTATATAAATTTCAATGATGTATAATAGGTAAAGCAGAATCTTAAGTTTTTGTTGAGAGCAATAACTGACTAGCAGCAGGTCTTTCCCAAGCTCCTTGGAGGGTATTGTGCTGTTATCTGAAAATATGCCAAGGTACTGTCTGATTTGGATTGTAGCAGTTTTGATGTGGAAGGAGACACTAGAGCAAATTTTGTGGCAGTACTAATAACTTCTCTTGAAGATGGATGTCATATAAAGGAAGCCTTAAAAGGATTTCAGCATTACCTGGGCCTTTATGCAACTCTGAATATGGGTGCTTGTTAAAGGTAAATTGTCAGGGTGCGTATTTGTGTGGTATGCTCTCCTTCCATCTGAGTTCCATGACTAGAAATTTGAAGTGTCTGATGATCATTTCTCAATCCTGTAGACTTTGGTCTTGGTGGGGACAGGGAATGCCTGATCCTGCAATATTGGGCGTCTATGGAAGCTAGACACGGGAACATGGAACGGGCACGTGTTCTTTGGGGTGACATCATGAGCCAGGGCCATGCCAAGTCATCTGACATGTGGCTTAGATTCGCCCAACTGGAGCGACTCCACGGGGACGCTAAACATTGCCGACGTGTGTTCACCCGTGCTCTTGCGCAGGCCATTGGAAGCCCTGAGAAACTCATCTTTGCATGGCTCTCATTTGAGAGAGAGGAAGGAACAATAGACTCCTTTGAGAGCTGCCTCGAGAAATGTGAGGAACGGTACGTCCCCCCTGCTGGTCCTGCACTGGACCTTTTTTTCTCTGTTCTTTACCATTTCCTAAATTGGATGAAACTGGCTGATTCCCTATGCATTTAGTTTTTTCTGAAGCAGAAGCATCCAGGTTCTAATCAACAATGCTAATTAGTTTCATTCTAATACAATAATTTTCTTCTCTAATCACAAAGAGTTTGAAAACTCGTAGAGTTTCTGAATCCTTATACGAAATGCAGTTGTCTATGAGTTTCAGTCGACAGCAATAAAACTTGTAGAAATGAGATTAATCACAAGAATCCATCTCTTGGGACTACCTTTGTTATTGGAACACAATTCTGAGTGGATGTTTGAGATTGTGATAATGGTGAAATGTGCACACAATTTCACTTTTTTAAATATTTTTCTGTGAGGAAGGCAAAGGAAGTGGAAACATGAGCAACGGGAAATGGACAAGGAGAGAAAGATGAAGGTGAAATGGGGGAGAGACCAGGGAAGAGGGAAGGGGGCCAAGGACCAGACAAAGGGGCAAGAGACACAAAGGAGAGCCAGGGAGACCGTCGCTGTCCACGGCGAGAAGCGGAAGCTTGCTCCGGTGCGTTCTTTAATGCATTTTTAAAAGGAAGTGACAATGTGTTTGGAGAATGCCATGGTGGTTTGATTTGCATCTGAAGGAGCAAGAAGATAAGAAGGAAGGCGACGAAACCAGTCCAGTCAAGAAGGCTCGAATCGAGACCGGAATGAGCCAGGTGAACCTGGTCGACCAGGATGGGTTCAAGATCCCACAATCTGTGGCGAATGGGGACCAGGCAACTGGAAAAATACCACTAGCTCCCCATAAAGGTTGTGTCTTTTACGTGTTCGGTGTTTGGGGAAGATGTCATTTATATGTATGGCTGTGCCGATTATCGCCATATGGCGATATCGTTCGATGTGTGTCTTATCGGCGATATGCTTGCATATCTCGATGTTTAAATTTTGTTAATAATTTATTTTACTCCTCTATTGTCGCGGGAGAGGTAAACAGAGCACACGAACCGTGCCATTAACATAACGGCATAGGACAATGTAAGGATTGACTATCGGCCTTGACAAAAACCTGTGAGATGAGGGAAGGAGTTAGTGCATAATCTGAAGTCTGCAATCCTCCCCGATGCTTTCTTTTCCTGGAAAATTTCCTTGAGGCGAAACGATGGAAATCAGCACTCGGATTCAGTCAGCCCCCGAATATGATGAAACCGCGGCCATTTTTTGTGTATGGAAAAGAACTGAAAAGTCATACCTCACGCTCATGGAAAGTCTGTAATGCAGAATGCGTTTAGAATTTATCCTCGCAACGAATGCAATACCCATCCGGAATATGTAAAAGTAGCTGCCCTGAAAGGAAGAAAAATTCCAGTATCTGGGAATACGACCAATCTCTCGCATCTTGCGATCTCAATTTGATTGTGGCGATGATCGAGTCCCGCCGCTAAAAAGACCACTCCATAATTCTTTACAACTTCTCCTGTCTGGGACGAAGTGGAAGCCCAATTCCAAGGAAAATCGGTTCCCGGTATGTCAGGCTTTAAACGCTTGACCTTTCCTTGTACCTTTTCTTCAAAGAAAAACGGAAGACCTTGAAAACCACCCACGGGCTCATGAGTCACGATTGCATTTCGAATCTGACAATCCACCGTCGAGTCCATCACGGCCTCCAGCAAGAAGTCACACGAGGCAAGTGTCACTTCCCTAGCCCACGCGGTCGGCTACGAGCCTGCAGAAGTGGAGCCGCAGGACGGAATCAATGACATTGATTTCGTTCGATCTTACATAAATAAAGCGGCGAAATGGAGATCGATGATCCACCGATACGCCGGAGTCATAACGGAAGGAGACACCCATCGCTTGCCGACCTGGCTCGCAAAAAACCTGCGAATTCGCAGAACTTTCGTCCCTTGTGAGCGACTCTTTCCGAGATAAGGATTTTCCGCAAACGAACGTCGTGCATGTTTTGCGACAGAGATCGTCGATATGTTCTCTCTCTTAGCTTTGAACAACGAACTATAATGATGTCATGCATTCAAGATCATTATCAAAATAAATCATTACAAAAATAAAGAGGTTTTGCCCTGAAATAAATGCGCCATTAATACCACCCCCTCCTCCGATTGAACCCTGGCGATATCGGACGATATATGGGTCGGCGATATCGATACTTTAAAAATCCATATCGCCAATTTATATGTTTCTCCTGTTGCCCTTCACAGTGTAAGGTGTTAGTGAAACTGCCAAAGAATTATAGCAATTTTAGATAGTCCAAATTTCGAGTGTTCGTTTAGATCCAGAAAATTTTGGGGTGATGGAGTGGGATATGGTTTGCATTTTTCCGAAACTGACAATATTTTCAGTCTCGTTTCGAAGCGAGAAACTAGCAAGCAATTTCATAGCAGTTCACGACGAGACGATAGGAATCTTGGATTATATGCTTATTCCTGCTGCAGACCCCAAGACCGAGCACGGGGAGACGATCCACCACGACGCGTCGAAGGACGACCGCACCCTGTTCCTGTCGAACCTGGCCTACGACGTGGACGAGCCCCGCATCCTCTCCCTGTTCGCCGACTGCCCCGGCGTCGTCCAGTTCCGGCTGGTGCGCGACTACCGCGGGCGCTCCAAGGGGTTCGGGTACCTGGAGTTCGAGTCCAAGGCCCGGGCTGAGCCCGCACTCCGCAAGGATCGGGACACGATCGACGGGCGACCCGTGTTCGTGTCCCGGTGCGAGTCGGACCAGCGCCTCAAGGGGCAGGCGTTCCGATTCAACAACTGCCTGGAGAAGAATAAACTCTTTCTTAAAGGTATGCCTCTGCCATTGCTCGATGCTGGATCCGAGGCGAAATTATCCAATCGCGTTCATCCCCTTTCCTTCCCCATCGTTGTAACATGAGGACTTTATGAATTATGGTCACGATATCGTTTTCGCTCTCATCGATGATGTTTTTGCACAATATTTTTGAATTTGGTATTGCTGATGATAAAAGAAAAGGAAGGGAATCTCTCGCATCCACGATGAGGATTTTTGCGATTTCCACCAAACGGATCGAGTGTAGGAATTAAATAGAAAGGAATCGATCCCTACGCATACCCCGGCGGTGCTTATGAAGATTTCCCCGTCTCCGAACGTAGGTCTGCCGCCGGAAACGACGAAAGAGGACTTGGAGGAAATCTTCGGCAAGTACAAGGGGCTGAAGGGGGTGCGCATCGTCACGTTCCGCAACGGCCACTCCAAGGGCATCGCCTACGTCGAGTACACCAACGAGGTGAGCGACTGGCGGCCGTTAGGGCTATCGTGTCGATTTCGATGTCCCATTTTAAGATATCGATCGAAATGAATTTTCTTTCTTTCCGTGGAAGAACTCGGCCAAAGAGGCACTGGTGGGGACAGACGGGATGCAGATCGGGGAGAAGACGGTGTCGGTGTCCTTCTCGAACCCGCCGACCCGGGGGACGAGGGAGTACGGCGACGCCACGAGCGTCCTGCAGGGATCCCTGGGCCGCGGGGCCCCACCTCCATCCGGCGGGTGAGTGGATTTACGGTCACGAAAATAAGGTTTCCGTTTGAAATTTATTTTCATTTCCAAGACAAACCCAGCCAGACCGCTTTGGGAGGGTTTTATTTATTATTTTTAATATTATTGATTTAATTATTTAATTTATTTATTTAAAATTATTATTATATTATATTATTATTATTATTTATTTATTTTTTTTTTGGAGGGGGGGAGGGAGAGAGTAATGGATCCTCTTCTGCTGCAATTTCACGTTAATGCAGACTTCATGGAACCTGAGAAACTTTCCGGATTATTTAGGCTGAACCGAATGCCATTCGCTTTTATACTGTATTGATTCATTCCAATAAATATTTTCTTGTGGAACCCAGAGAACCCAGCCGATGTGAGAAACTTGAAGAAGAGTGGGGATTGAGGTCGATGGAGGAGGCCCTCTAAGTTTAGAGCGATCCCCATCTCTCGATTTCAGGGTAATGTGGAGACCGAAGGAAATCGCTTTCTCCTTCTGTCCGACCCCCTCGGACGAGGGAGAAGCGGGAATATACCCCCAACTTTTTCCATCTCGATCGGATTGGGAATCACCACGGTCCTGTATTATTTCGACCGGAACCATTTCTCATGGTCCGAATGAACGGGAGATAGGAATTGCCGACGGTGTAAATTGCTGGCGTCGCTGGGAATTGCTAGGTAAATTGCTGGGTAAACGAGAATTGACTGTCGACCGCAAGCCCGCTAATACCGAGTGACGGCAAAATCTTTTCCCCTAATCCCAGGATCCGACAGAATTAGCGAAGATTAAGGTAGGGTCTCTCCCTTTGTTTGCTGGATCCCCCGGACACGGGGTAAAATCCGGCCTTCTGGCCCCTGCTTTTGAAAACGGCTGTCTTGTGATGTCACTCCTTTAAGTAATAATAAGGAAATTTATGCTTTTATCCTGTGACATAAAATTACCTTTCCTATGTTACCGGTGGAGTTTCATCTGATGATGAGGAAAATTGTATAGCCACCTTGTAGACATTTTTATCCTATGAAGTTTGTACAGTACAACTTTTCAGAGCCTGAGATTTTGTCGTATTCTCTGCCATAGTTTGTGAGTTGCAATATTTTCTGAGTCGAGCGTTCGCCTCAAAATGATTTTTCGCTAAGAGAGCGAAGCGATTCGTTGCGATGACCGTTTTGTATTTTGACTCCATGGTACAAATCAGCAGGAAAGTTTGTTTCTCTGCCCTATTCCCTAAAATAATGCATAGTTAGAAATTGCACTGTCTGATTGTGATACTGAGTGGTTTCTCATGGTGAAATAATTTATCCCCTTTTGTCTGTTGTGCAGGCGAGGGAAGGGAAGGACGGGGCTGTCTCTGCTTCCACGATCGGTGCAGAAGGCAGGGAATCCCAGTCCATCCCCGTTCCAGAAGGACGAAAGTAGCGGTAGCAGCAGTGGTAGCAGCAGCAGCGGCGGCAGCGAAAAATCTCAAACTCTCAGTAACGACGACTTTCGTCAGATGTTGCTTGGAAGGAAATAAATGTGTCTTCAACCCAAGGTTCACTCGTGCTACAGCGTCATCTTTTTTTTTTATCACATACACCTTGAAAAAGCTTACGAAAACATATCCATGCGTTGGGTATTGGAGTGCCTGGCTTGGATACTCCTTCCAACGGCACCTATAAATGCCCTGTAATCCAATGCCGCATAAAGTAGTCATTTGAAATGGTCTTCCTAGACACTCCGCTGGCCTGGACCTACTGTTTTCAACCAATCCCTGGGAAATAGTTAACCTATTAAATGTATTTGAGAAATATTTTATCCTTTTTAAAAAATGCTAGTAAAATGGAAAAGTTGTCAAAGATCCGGTGACCCTCGAGGTTTGACAAGTGGAAGGACCGCTCTGGTCTGAAAAGTCCCGTTCATGAGTGAATTTCGAGTTTGGAGCCGAAAACTGCATGTCGTCCCTGTCCTTGACTCTAGATTCAGGGGTGTGCAACCTTTATCGGCAGTGGGCCGCATGGAAATGTCTGACTCTTCACGCGGGCCAAAGAAAAGTGCTTCCCTCTTTTGCCCTAAGGGCTTATGAGGGCATAAGGTCGCTCTGATTGGCCGGTGATTCTTACCCCCGCCTCACCCCTAGGAAATTTCAAAGTAAAAAATTAGCCTTTGGCATCGAGGACCTTCTTCCTCGAGACATACGTAGCCCCCCCGCGTGAGGAATAATTAGGGCAAGGAAGTGAAAGGACTCAGTCTATCTCTAGTTTAGCTACTTAGGGATGGTCAAAGTTGTGATGCGCCTTGGACCGGAAAGAAGCTTATTTCATCTATTATCCCGTTATGCATTACCGGGCCGCAAGAAGCAGGTCCACGGGCCACACGCGGCCCGCGGGCCGCGGGTTTCACATCCCTGCTCTAGATGGAGACTCCATCGCGATCGTTGAGTCCCGTGTCATAAAAAGGGAACTACCCTGGTAGAATTTGCATTAAATTGTCTTAAGATGGGTATTTCCTGTACATTGTGAAAGAGAACATTAAGGAAAGCGATCGTTTTCGCAAAATTATCATGTTTACAGCGTTTTGAAATCAGTCTTGCGTTGCGAACCCGACCGGAGCAAAACGGCAAGCTAAAATCCTCGTTCGTGCCAAATTTCTTCTCCACGGAGCGAAACGACATTCCAAGTCGCAAAAATTTTCTCAACACTTCGCAGACGACCTTGAGAAGTTTCGAGGATCTCAAAGGTCAAAGCGAAAGCTCCATTTCGTTTCTTCTTGAATTTTATTGCCCCCTTCGGCCGAGTCAAAGCGACGAAGGAATGCAAATTTGAGAAACAGGATAAAGAGAGGGGCGGGGCGGGGGCTCATCCTCTTTTCCTGGAATCCATTTCAAAGATGTTTTTCTCTTGAATTAATAAGCTTCAGCGCAGTCAACTGCTCTTTCCGCGACACCCACTCTTCTTCAGCCTCGCTTTCGTTCTTACTGTCATGCTTACCATTGTATGCTTACCATTGTATGCTTCCAACATGTTTCCGAGCTTTCTCAGGTCAGGATTTCCAGGAAAAGGTGGAGACTCGAGAGTTGGATAGCGTTATCGTTATTTTTATTCAGAATTAAAAAATATATATATTTTTATTAATGCATAAATAGTATGGCTGTCGATTCGATTAATTTAATCGATCGATTAATCGATTAAAGTTTTATTATATTATAAAATTATGAGGGTAAAAAGAGGCATTCAGGGGGATATTAGGGGATCGATTAAAATTAAATTAATTTCGACTAATTTTTTTAATCGACATTAATATCCCGATCGATTAGTCGGTCGATTAAATTAATCGAATTGACTGCCCTAATAAATAATAAATAATTGCTTATTTATTATTAAAATAATGACGATAAGATGGTGGCTCGATTCATCGAATTCGACGACAGTACTGAGAGGAAGTACTCGGCCGGTACTGATCAAAAGTACCGCGATGGACTCAGCACGCCGCACGACGAGCCGCAACCGGAAATTGCGCAAAGAATTCCTTCAAACGCGGAATTTTCGTGACGATTTGCAAAAGCTTTCCGCTTCGTGCTTTTGGCCATCGTTGGCCAAAACCTTTTTTTTTATCTCATTAGTTCAAAGTTTGTCTCATTGAAAAAGAAAACAAATCGATATGTTTCGTTGCTGCGCGTCCACGCTCACGCACCTAGGAGGAAACGCGGTGCGTGCACGAGGGAAAACGCGTGCACGCCTGCCTCGCCGTGACGCGGAGTGCTGGAATCCGTCCTCGGTTTCCTTTCATATCGATCTCATTTCTGAAAGCTCGTCCATCCATAAAACACGTTCATTCATAAAACAAGTTCATTCATAAAATGTGTTCATAAAATATTAATACATGAAGGGTGGAGTGCATCCTCTTCGGGGTTGCGGGGGTTTCCTCCTCGGTCTATTCGATTCCAGAGGGTTTTCTAAGGTGAAGGAATAAGAAGAAGCTGAAGGAATTACCCGACACTCTTAATTTAATCTGATTGCCCTGTTATGATGATTGCCCTGACATGATAATTGCCCTGATAAACAGACATGCATTACTCTTGAGTTTATTTTTATTTGTGGCCAGGTTTAAAAAAAAAAACTGCAATGCTACTAGATCTCGTGGTTTCGTTCAGGGAATGCCAAAATCGTCTTGTCGAGGTCTGACCGCGCGGTGAGACAGTGTTGCTAGATTTCGAATATGTCCGTGAAGCCTCCCCAACATCACAACATATCAATAATCGAATGATGAATTCTTAATGTGCAGAAAAATTCGAATGCCAGAAAACCAATCCGGCCGGTTTTTTCTCCGGGAAAAAAAAAAAAAACAAAAACCAATCACGATGCAGGAAAGACGACCATCCGAAGAGTAACCCACGGCATCACTGCGGAAAGCAACCCTGCTCCAGCAGCCGTCCGTCCCTGGCATCCATTCATGCCGTCCATTCATGCCGTCCATTCACAAACTTTCCCATGAATGGGCCGAGTCCCCGCGCAGGCGGGCAGCGGTCGGGGATGCAGGGATGTCGTCTCCCTCCCCTCCCCGCCTCCCTCCCACATGTGCCCATCGACGGGAACCGGTCGCTGGTGTGCGAGCCGTTTGGGTTTCGCAGGTGAGTCTCTCCTCTCTTGTCTCTCGCGGTTCGCGGCTCGCGATAGCGCTTGTGCCTCTCGGGTCTTCATAGTTCTCCCCCTCCCCCTCCCCCTCCCCCTCCCCCTACCCCTCCCCCTACCCCTCCCCCGTTTTTCGCACCGCGTCAAACAAGCGGAATGAATGGTACTTACGAAATTCCGTATTTTTCTAAAATAATTTCGCATTATATTCGCACGGCTGAAGAGTCGGACCAGTCGGAGAATGTTTCATCGACGATTGCCTATCAAGAGGGTTTCAAGTCTAAAAATCACGATGGAGATACATTGGTTTGTGCCATCTCTCTGTGCAAAAATAGGTGATAAATTTACGAATGTTGCACATTCGTAAATTGAAAATGTTGCACATAACGAAACTGCATGAAAATACTTGAAACTTTACAACTGGATAGTGGAGATGAACCTCCTCACCAGGAAGGAAAAATTCCACGTTGTACTTCCGTCCCTGGTTTATAATCAAATAAATTTTCCACCAGCAGAGTTCGTATTTGAGAAATTTCGAGCGAAAAAATAATAATTTCACGGGCGAATAATTTTGGGAGCTGGCGGAAGGCATTTCCGATCCTGGACGGATCCCAGAGGCGAAAGGAGCGAGGCGGGCGAATCCGGAGGAAAAACTTTGCTGTTTTTTCTGCTGTTTTTTCTGCTGTTTTTTCTGCTGTTTTTTCTGCTGTTTTTTCTGCTGTTTTTTCTGCTGTTTTTTCTGCTGTTTTTTCTGCTGTTTTTTCTGCTGTTTTTTCTGCTGTTTTTTCTGCTGTTTTTTCTGCTGTTATTAATCTCAGGTT